TTTAAAAACACTTCCAGCTGAAGATGGGTAGACATAGCATGAGCCTAAGAGCTGGACTGGATTAGCAGTGGTCTCTCCAAAGGGCAGCCTGAGGCATAAGCAGCCACCACAGGTGGAAAACCATCAGGTGTGTGGTTCCTGCCCCTCCGGTGTGCATCCGGCCATGTCTCCACTCAGAGTCTGCTGTTCTGCTTGTCTGGATCTATTGTACTGCTGTAGCAGAATACCATAAACTGGGTAATTTGTAGAAGTCTGATGTATTGCTCACAGTTGCAGAAGCTCAGAACTGCAGGCTCAAGGCATCAGTCTCCGGGATCAGATGAGGGGTTTCTGCCGCACTCTCCTACAGCAGCAGGGGAAGTGCCTTGAGCAGTGGCCACGTGGAACCTCTTCTAATCCCACAGGTGAGGGAGATGCCTCCGTGACTGAGTGGCTTCTTCTTAGTTACTTTTTTTTGTCATTGCTGAAATAAAATACCCAACATCCAAAATGAAAGAAGAAAAGGTTTACTTAGCTCCCAGTCTGCAGAGGTTTCAGTCCATCATCAGCTGGCTCCAAGGCAGGGTGGTGTGGCACAAGGGCAACCATTCATGGTGGCAGAAGACAGGAAAAGCAACCAGAGAGAAAGGGGTGGGGCAAGCCTTTTTCCTGTCTTATGTTGTAAGCAGGTTACCAGCCCTGAGGTGGCTGTAGCACTCACAGGGTCTCAGTGTGTCTCAGTGTGCTCCTCTTGCACAGGATGAGGAGGTTTACAAAGCGAGGATGCTGGGCCCCTGCTGCATGGCTTAAACTTCTGACCTTCTCAGGTTGACACAATGGCCAACATCCTAGAGCAGTGAGGGCATGTCCTCTACACCCAGTCAGGCTGCAGTGGGACCTCTTTGCTAATCCCACGGGTGAGGGAGGTGCCCCCACGGCCTGATGGCCTCTTAATTGGCCTCACCTCCCACTGCCATCACTCAGCAACTTCTGACTTTTGGAGGGGACCGTTCAAACCACAGCACACCTTGCTCAAATTCCACTTGGGGCCCTAGAGACACGCATGACCACGGGCCCCGAACCTTTAGCCCCTGCCCTCTACCCAGGTCCCCCTCTGTCTACTTCTGCAGCCTCTAAGAACCGATTGCCCCTGAGTCTTTGAGGTGTCTACAGTGCTAGACTCCAGCTCACCCTCACGTAGGTCCAACCCTGGCCCAGGCTCCCCTGACACGAGACAGCCACACTCATTCTAGGTATTGTGAATACCTGTAGATACCCAGGTATCAAGAGACAGCCGCTGGGCCAGTTCTGCCACTGCCTCCACATGAGCCTTGGAAAGTCTTGTCACCTCTGGACCTCAGTTGCCTCGTCCATAAAATGAGAGGCTTAACCTGGGCATAGTGGTGCATGCCTACAATCCCAGCACTCGGGGGTCTGAGGCAGGAGGGTCACTATAAGTTTGGGGCCAGCCTGGGCTACATGGTGTGTTCAAGACTAGCCTGGACTACAAAACAGTTGCAGCCAGTTATTCACCAACTTTGACACTCAGACTGCTTGCTTTCTGCGACTGTGAGCTCAGGGAGGTCAGTAAACTTGCTGTATGGGGCTGTGCCCCACACTGAGTTATAGACTTACCTCGTTCCCAGGAAGAGTGTCCTAGGGCCAGGTACCTGTGCTTTATGGGACCTCATCCCTGTGGTTGCGTAAGGCAGGGCCTACAGAACTTTGAAGGAGGCAGGGAGCAGCTTATGATAGGGGGCCAGGTGAGCTAAGGTCCTCTGTGCTGAGCAGGTGAGGGGTAGTTTTAACCCATGGACCTCAGAACTTCCACAAGGAATCAGTTCCTGAACTTAACTGAGTGATGAGTCCCTCAGCCATGTTTATTTCCCTTGGAGACAGCGTGTAATCAGACAGAGCAGTGACTCCTGGGCCTACTGCAGATCCCTGGAAGCCTGTGGTCAGGGATGGAGTATTCCACAGTGGGAACTGAAGTTTGTAAGGAAGTAAAAAATGTCATAGAGAGAGGCCAGCATCATGCCTTGGGTGAGTGTGTCCTGCTCTTCGTATGGAGCACGGCCATCTTTCCCAGCTGAGCTCACAGGGGTTAACCCATGCTGCCCCCGGCACCTCCTCTGCTTGCCAAAGGACTGTTTTCCTCCTCTTTTCAGCAGCCCTTAATTCAAGAATCAGACCCGGGTGACTGCTGCCTCCTCTCTCGGTTATTCAGTTACTCCCCTCTGTCCTCATTTCCTTATCTGTCCTCGTGGAGTTGTAGCGGCGTTTGTGTGGTCAGATGAGGCAGCTGGTCAGTGGCTGTGTGCTCCACCGTGAGTCTCTCTCTCTTTTTTTTGGTCTTTTTCGTTTTTTTACTGGTACCAGGGATCGAACTCATGACTGCCTGCTTGCAAGGCAGGCGCTTATGCCGCTGAGCTAAACCCCCAGCCCCTCCACTGTGAGTCTCATACGCTGCCTAAAAGCCTGTTTCTCAGTGCCTCACCTTTTGCTCCAGTGCCTCTCTGGGTATCAGTGCATTACAGCAAATCTAGTGGGGCTTCACTGATGACTGGCCATCACCACATGTACCAGTGTCACACCTGTGTCCATACCTCTATGCCCATGTACCTGGGTCTGTGTATCTGTGTGACACCTGTATCCACGCATCTGTGCCACACCTTTGTCCAAGCACCTGTGTCCATGCACCTGGGCCACACCACTGTTCATGCACATGTATCAGAGCTGTGTCTGTGCATCTGTGTCCATGAATTGTGTCCACTCATAGACTCCTGACTTTACTTTGGATAAAAAATGACTCATACTTAGCATAGTGTACGTGTTTCTGCTGTTCACTTCAGGAGGCTCTGGCCCTTAGATGTTCAGGTAGTTTTTTTGTCCAGGAGTATAATTTTTTAACCATGCAAAGCAGGATTGAAAGTTGAGACAGCTTCTGAGGGCAGCAGTGTTGTGGGCTTTCCTGGGTGGGGTGTGGGCGAGATGCACGGTGAGGTGGGGCAGGAATTCAGCCAGCAGCCCCGGCCTTAGATCTTACTGCTGGGTCCTTAAGTTCTGCATCTGTCAGAGACTCATAGTAGATGACGGGAAGCAGGCCTCCTACAGCGGCTACCGGGATTAAAGAGAAGCGCAGCTGTGAGTGTGCATTGTGTCACCAAAGGCGTCAAATACAATTTGCCTGTGTTGCGTTTCCTCAATTACTGCCCTGGTAGGTGCTCTCAGTTATGTACTTGGGACCCATGCATGACAGCTGTCCCCACCTTAGCAAGTCCCAGGTACAGCAAGCTTTTGTCAGAGGGTGAAAGGCTGGGGCAGCTGGGCACTGGCTAGGAGAAGTGGGTTTCTCGGTGATTGTTCTGGGCAGGAACAGAATCTCTCAAGGCTTCGTTTTCTTTTCCAGATGAGAAAATGCAAATCACTGGTCTCAGTTATCCTTCTAGACTTTCCTGGGGGAGACAAGCAGAGCTTACAAAAAAACTGTTCTTCATCTTCTCTCATGAAGTTTTGTAAATGTTTGGTCTGATGGTTATAATTTTCCCACCCAGATCAGTTCATGTTGTTTTTCCATTCTATTTCTTTTTTTTTTTTTTTTTCTTGGTACCAGGGATCGAACTCACGACGCCTGCTTGCAAGGCAGGTGCTTATGCTGCTGAGCTAAATCCTCAGCCCGTTTTTCCATTCTATTTCAAAGGAAGACACGTGTGTGTGTGTGTGTGTGTGTGTGTGTGTGTCTGATTATAAAATAATATGTGCTCATTGCAGGAATTTTGGAAAAGATGGTGGGAAATTATAAAAAAATGTAAAAATTATGTATTAGAAAAAGAACAGAGCCTAGGGCAGGAATAAGCATGAGGAAACTTTTGGGACAGTGGGGCCATGGTAGATCTTTGTGCAGGTGCTGGTTATATGTTTGTTGGGACTTCAGCCAGTGCACACTTAATAAAATTGCATGCTAACTTTATGTGAAAAAAAGCTAAACAATTATTGAACTTGAATGAGGGATATGCATAACTAAGTATTTAGGGAGAAGTGTAGACATGTCTCCAATGTACTTGGACGTGTACCAAAAAAGTAAAATGGATTGATGCTGGGTAGCTGGATAGATACATGACCAAGGAGATACAGTAAAATGTTCGTGTCAGAATCCAGATGGTGGGTGCACAGGTATTCACTATAAAAGTTTTCAAGCTCGCTTTGTTTAAAAATTTATGTTAAAAATGGATTCCTAATCCAGAAAAAGTCCATATTTAAAAATTAATTGTAAACTGTATTAACATCTACAGAGCCATTCTTTAAATACTTTTTATATTGCAGTTTTTTGGTCAGAAAAAGTTTTATGGAATTTCTACATCATAGTACTATTTGTATATACTTTGCAATGCATAGTTCCATTAGTTTTGATAAATGAATAGTCCTGTGACCACTCCCACCACCAAGATATAGAATAGATCCTTTAATTTGGAAAATTCCTTCATGCCCTTTGTAGGTCAGTTTCCCTTCTCATATCCAGCTCCTGGCAACTGTCTGTTTCCCAGAATCCTATAAAATAGAACCAGATGGCACAGCATGGCAGGTGGCCTGGGACTCCAGCTCCTCTCACTGTGTGACTCGGTGGTGCCACTGCGTGCTCTGGTAGTCGATTCTTCTTTAGTGATGAGTAGTCTTTCACTAGAAGTATGTACATTAGTGTAATACTTGTAGAACTTAATTGCTTATCATTGCCTGCCCTATTTGTTTTCTTTATTAATTGGCTATTGCAGTAATTTATTTCTCATTGTTACATGTCCTATTGTACTGAACTTCTTCACATATCATCTTTGTTATCAATTGCTTCATTAAGGTAGGTTAGGGGGAAAAGAATTACTAAATTGAGTGTTATATTTTTAAAGTCTTTAATACATTTTTAGTCATTAAAGTGTTTTTCCATGTGTTTCAAGTACACCAAGCAAGATTTAAACCTGCACTGGTGTTTGTAACCTCTTTCCCTCCTCTTTTTAATACTGCCATTGTAGAGCTGACCCGAAGTTTCAGTGTCATCAGCCAACTTTCCAAACCCTAGGTCATGGAGGCCAGTCAGGAGGCGTCACTCTTCCTGGTGAAGATCTTAGAGGAGCTGGACAGCAAGCAGAACACCGTGTCCTACCAGGACCTGTGCAGGTCTCTGTGCACCCGCTTTGATTTGTCCCAGCTCACCAAACTGAGAAGCATGCTTTACTACACAGCTTGTCTTGACCCCAACTTCCCAGCCACTTTATTCAAAGACAAGATGAAATCCACTGTGAATAACCAGCAGTCAAAGAAGATCATGGTGGCGGCAGACATTGTGACAATATCCAACCTGATCCAGATGAGTGGAGGTGCCGCCAAGGAGAAGCTGCCCCCGGGCCGCCCCAAGGTGCACAAAAAGGGGGCCTCCTTCGAATCGTGCAGAACGGACACGGAGGTTTGTGATGCAGCCGAGTGTGCGCCCCTGACCTGTGACCTGAGTGAGAGGCCCTTCAGCCGTGGCTACCCAACCCGGCAGTCAGCCAGGTGCCGGCAAAGGGACTGCAAGGACTGTCCACAGTTCATCCCTGCGTCCGAGCCCAACTTCCTACTGGGTGTCAGCAAAGAGGGGAAGAGCAGGGCCGCCTCCCTCGACAGACTCCAGGCTCTGGCACCGTACTCGGTGGCCAGCCCACAGCCCTGCGAGATGCAGAGGACGTACTTCCCCATGAACCTGGAGAGTGAGTCCACATCAGACCAGGAGCCCCTGCCCATCAGCCAGGGCCTGAAGGAGACCTTCAGCCCCCCAGAGGAGTCCTTTGTGGTCCCGTCCTGCGTGCAGAAAAGGAACATCTTCAAGGAGGACTTTCACAACCTCATGCCAGTGTCTCCCAGCTTGGTTGGCCCAGACAACAAGGCCAAGGGGGAGCACAGGGTCCCCCAGGGCCGCAAGGAGCCCCACAAACCACCCTTCTTCAATCACAGCTTCGAGATGCCCTACCACAGCCAGTACCTGAACCCCATGTACTCCCCTGTGCCTGACAAGCGTCGGGCAAAGCACGAGAGCTTGGATGACCTCCAAGCCTCCACCTACTTTGGACCTACTCCGGTGATGGGGACCCAGGACCCCAGACACTGTCTGGGGAGGCCCAGCAAGCAGACTGGAGAGTCAAGAGCTGCAGCCTGGCCAGTCAAGAGCTGGAGCCTGAACACTGAGGAGGTCCCAGACTTTGCGCGGTCCTTTTTCAACAGAAATCCCTCTGAGGAGAAGCTACACTACTCAAACCCCAACAGCCAGACCCCCAATTTCTCAGCCCCAGACAGGCGCCCAGCTTACTTGGTGCCCAGTGATCCACAGCAGATTCTACCTGTTGGCTATACAGCCAAGGTGAATGGGCTCAAACCCAAAGAGCTCTCACCCACCATCGAGCTGGAGAAGCACGAACCAGCAAAGAAGTTCAAGGACAAGGGCATCGGCTGTGCCAGTCGGCAGGTCAGCTCTGATACCAGCAGTGTGGGCACCCAGACAGAGCAGCACACACTGGAGCCCAAGAAATGCAAAGAGCTGTGCTCCATGGCCCAGGGCAAGTATGGGGACAGACACTCCGGGAAGCACTCAGACGATGACTCTGAGGTTGTCAGTGACGATATCAGTGATATCTTCCGATTTCTCGATGACATGAGTGTCAGCGGCTCCACTGGCCTGATACAGTCGTCCTGCTACAACAGCACTGGGTCCCTGTCTCAGCTGCACAAGTCGGACTGTGACAGTTCCCCAGAGCACAACCTCAGCAGAATCACCAGCAGGGCCCCCAGCAGCAAGGCAGACAAGGGCAGCCGGCCTGAGAACCCGCACCGCTCAGAGGAGGAGCTGAAGACCAGTGTGTGCAAGCTGGTGCTCAGGATTGGCGAGATCGAGCGGAAGCTCGAGTCGCTGTCGGGCGTCCGAGAGGAGATCTCCCAGGTTCTCGGCAAGCTGAACAAGCTGGATCAGAAGATGCAGGAGCCAGAGCAGGTACACGTGCACGTGGATCTGAACAGTTTGACCAGTGAGGCCCAGTCTGATGACAGCACCTCCCCCAGGGTGTTCCGTGCCCATGACAGCACCCACACACCCAAGCTGGAGCCCAGCACAGAGTGGTGCTGCTCGGATGCCAGCGGCAGCAACAGTGAAAGCCTGCGAGTCAAGGCCTTAAAGAAAAGCTTGTTCACTCGGCCGTCATCCAGGTCCCTGACAGAGGAGAACAGTGCCACTGAGTCCAAAATCGCCAGCATCTCCAACTCCCCCCGGGACTGGCGCACCATCACCTACACCGGCCGCATGGGGCCCAGCCAGGAGGAGGTGAAGGACGCTGGAACAGAAGACACCAAGGACTGGCACTGGAAATCCAAAGAGGTAATGAGCTTGTGCCCGAGCAATTGGCATGGCTCATGCACAGCCTTGGCATCCATCCAAGCTGAGAGCTTTGCAGTAAGCCAGGGTGAGGCTGGCTTGCCTGGGCTCATCTCCTTCCAGACTGGCTGGCTTTCCCCTAGGACAGTGGGTGACATGGGCCAAGCTGTCAGTCAGCTATGCAAGCACCGACTGCGATTCTCGGCCTCAGACGGTGCACTCGGGCCATGGGGCAGGTGGCATAAGGACGGCTTTCATAGAAGGCAGTGTGTCGGGCAGGCAAGCACCGCAGAGACCAGCTCTCTGTCCCTGCTGAGGCCCATGCAGGCCAGTGGGAACTGCCGACTCACCCCTTTCATGGGTTTGCTGCCCACCAGATGTTCTCTTTTATTTAAAGAATTTGGGGGGGCGGGTTCTGTGTAGTTGTAGGGTTCTGAGAAGTGAGATGAGCACATGAAGTAGTTTGTTTCCTGATCCCAGTGAGTCCTGTGGGGACCGAGCTGGTCCCCATGCTGCAGCCTTTGGCCAGAGGGTGCCACTGGCCCAGCACTGTCCCTGTCCTCCACGCCAGGCCCCCAGCATAGGCCAGGGCCCTGGAGCCCAGATAGCACGGAAAGCGGAGGGCAGTCCCGTACCATGCCCCTTCTCAGGAAGATCAAGTCCAACACACCACAAGGTCACCGCATCCACTGGGGTGCGCTGCCCTGGCGCAGTTTCCCTCCTGGACCCTACTCTTCTTCTGGTGCTGCCCTCCTCTGGGCTGGTGGTTCCCATGGTGTTGCCTAGCCCTGGCCCTCTGAGCCACTCCCCTGATTCCGGTGTTGAAGGTCTCAGATCTCTCTCCCACAGGTTTCAAGTCAGGCTTTCCTATGTGTTCAGAGCCCAAGTCCCTCCTCCTTACTCCCTTTGGTGGGACTCACCATTCTGTCTGTCTTGGGTTGAATTCACATGCAAATTCTGGACCCAACAGCCCTGTCTTCATGATGTAACCTGCATCCCTGCCTCCTCTCCATTGAATCCCCAACCTGCTGGGCCCTTAGCACAGGCCCTGGGCTTGAGGGCTTGAGGCTCCCTCCTGCATAGCTCACCAGGAGCCCTGTTCGCAGCACCTCCTGGGCTTCCCTTCCTTTGCTGTAGAAAGAAATGGTAAACTTCCTAGCCTAGGCTTTAAAGATCTGTGGGTTCCAGATATCCCCCACCGCACCCACCCACCCTGAGCCCTGCTCACTCACTGTGGCCCCCGGGTCAGTGGTGCCAGTCAAGCACCTGTTCTGGACAGGTCCCACTCTACCCCCAAGGTTCCTCCATCAAGAGTGGCTGATTCAGCTGGATGTGGTAGTGCCCACCCATAATCCCAGCACTCAGGGAGGCTGAGGCCAGGAAGGTTCCAAACTCAAGTCTAGCCTGGGCTGCATATGACTTGGCGAGCCCCTGTCTTAAAATATAAAGAGGAATGGGGATGCAGCTCCACCTGGGTTCAATTCTTGGTACCAGACAAAAAAGCAAAACTGAAAACCAAACAGTGAGAAGGAATGGCAGATCCAAGTTCTCTGTTCTCTGAAGCTGCTGGGCTCTGCAGTCTGGGTCTTGATGGACCTGGCACGGTCAGGGCTGGAGGCTGTGTGCTGTGCATGTGGAGCAGTGCAGGGTGGGAGTGCAGCCTCCTCAGTGCAGGGGCAGCAGCCAGTGCCCCTCGTCACACATCATCCTGCCTGGCCCCTTGGCAGCCGCTCTGGCCTGAGCGGATTATCACAGGGACAGGCTGGCATGTCAAAGAGACGATGCGTGAGAGGGCCGCGTCTGGCACTGTGCAGGCGGCAGATGCGTGTCGGCCCCGAGTGCAGTCATCGTGCCAGGGCTGCGCTGTGGGTGTCCTTACTGCTCCAGCCCCTGCTGTGCTGGCTGTGGGTACCATAGGGGCTGCACAGGTGCATGGAGGGGGGATGTGCAGGTTCGGAAAGTCAGCAGGGCTTCCCAAGGCTTAGAGCAGCAGCAGGATCCCTCCTGTTTGTTCCCGGGGTATCGCTGAGTTTGTGCCCGTGGCCCTGAAGGATGGCAGCAGGCATGTGGTCTCCCTGGGGACAGCAGGCCTGTGCCTCTCCAGACCCGTGCTCCTTCTCCTCACACCCTCATGTATGCGAGCTCTTCTGTCTTTCCTTCTCTTCCAGCCGGGCAGCCCTCTAATTCATACCCCCAACTTCCTGTCCACGTGTTTGCTCCCTGAGGCAGATAGTGAAGATGTTGTGCTCGGTGGCATAGCTTTGCATTAAAAGTGGAACGAGAGGCTCCCTGTTCACTGGACACCCAGCCTTGCAGGGGGATGGGCAGGCAAATGGGCAGTGACTATTCAGTGTGATGGACATGGCCAATGGGTCCGTACCACTACCAGGACGACACACAGACCAGCACTATCTGGGTCTCGGTGGGCCAGGGAGGACTTGCTACAAGGAGAGAAGTGTGGAGCTCTGAGTCTGGAAGGCGGAAGGGGAGATGTCAGAGGCCTTGCAAAAAACCGAGGACACCCACAGCATGGCACAGCCTGGGCAAATGAGTGGGAGTAAAGGTTCTGCTCGGGGGTTGGAAACCTTAGCTCTGCTGGGGTCAGAACAGAATTTCCCCAGCATGGCTGCGCTTCCTGTTTCTGAGTAACTGCATGCTGCTCGCTTGGTGTCACCAGGGCCTCATGACAAAAAGCTGCTGGCTTCCCTGTAGCCCTGTGAGAGCCATGCTTCTTGCTTATCTGTCCTCTCTGCAGGCCGACAGGCAGTACGACGTCCCCCCGCAGCACCGCCTGCCCAAGCAGCCCAAGGACGGCTTCCTCGTGGAGCAGGTGTTCAGCCCTCACCCGTACCCCTCCTCCCTCAAGGCCCACATGAAAAGCAACCCCCTGTACACGGACATGCGGCTGACGGAGCTGGCAGAGGTGCGGCGGGCGCAGCCCTCCTGGACGGTGGAGGAGTATGCACGTAATGCGGGTGACAAGGGCAAGCTGGCGGCTCTGGACCTGCAGGTGAGCCTGTCTGTGCCCGCAGGCACAGGAGTAGTCGGGTGACATAGGCCTGTGCACTCCCTGCCCTCCCATTCCTGGGTCCTGCCATGCGGTGCTGAGCCTTAGTGAACCAGAGTGTGGAAGAGACTTTTGGCAAGGGCACAGTTGTTTTGCTTAGTTGTTTGTTAACCCTGAGCACTGGGGGTGCTTGCTTTGCCTGTTTACCTACCTGCTGACCACCTGGTTTGCTAAGGATATGTTTAAGACCAAGTGCAGATTCTAATGTTTGCTCACAAGATCTGAGCCAAACAGCCTCGGGAAACACAAGCCACTGTGGCGGTGCAGTGGGATAAACATACTGGTGGGAGCTGAGCTATGGATTGTTTCCATACCAAGCAGCCCAGGTAAGAGCCACCCTGGGGAAAGATCTGGGGAGGCCACTGTGGCTAGAGGGTGGGGAGGGCTGGGTTTGGGCTACAAGTTTATTCTGCTGTGTAGCTCTGAGGTGCACCCACACACATCTCCCTGTGCCTCCATTTTCACCACGAACCCAAGGAAGCATCTGTTTGCACCTTAGGTTGAGGCTCTGTGGGTAGTGAGGCCATGGCACCAGAGGTGCCAGTTCTCATACAGCTTGATGTGCATTGGGGTGCAGTTGGTGAGGGCTTTGGGGGGTTGGTGTGGGGAAGCTCCCTGCGTGGTCAGGCTGTGAGGCAGAAGTCTGTGCAGGAGCAGGCAAAGGACTGGGTTCCAGAAGAACTGGATTCTGGCCCAGGTGCCTGTGGCCTGTGAGCTGGAGCCTTAGCCTCACCCATGCAATGGGCCATAATTTTAGGCATAGTCACCCTCATAGGCCCCCTGTGAGGAACCAGAGCGGTCTTTCCAAAGACCTTGGAGTTAAATAGGCTCTAAGAAAACCTCTAATGAAAGCACTGAATTCAATCAGCATGGCATGATTGGTGGTGGCTCTTCCCAGGAACCACCCAGTTCCAGGAACCATCACAGTGGCCCGGGGAGCAAGGATCGTCACCACCACCTCCAGTTTACAAATGAAGAAATTGAGGCTTTGGGAGGCTCAGTCACTTGCCCAGGTCAGCAAGCCTAAACTCACGTCGGGTCATCCCACAGCCGGTCTCTCATGGTTTGTCCTGCCTTACCTCCATGCCAGTCCACTTTTCTCTCTCTGCCTTACTAGAGATTCGTGTCCCGAACAAGTGGCTGCAGGAGTACTTGTGTGCCTGGGCCCTAAATGACAGCGACTGCAGTAAGGGAAGCCCTGTCAGATCCTAGGTCTGTGGCAGCAGTGCCTGCCCCCATGGCCCGACTGTGTGTGTGCACATCCCCGGTGCTAGCTCTGGCCACTGTGTTCATCCTGTGCGGGGCAGGCCGCACAAGGATTCAATCTCCCTGAGTGGGGCCCGGGGTGACTTTACAGAGCTTGTGCACCTCACGCCATGAGGCAAAGAGCCTTGGGCCTCCAGGCTGCCAGAGAGGACCCCAGGTACAAAAGACTCTACCAGTGGGGTCCCCAGGACTTCTGGTGCTGCAGGATGCCCTCAAGAGAGTCTGGTATCTCAAACGAGACGAGGAGCATCTTCTTAAGGGCTGGGGCAAGGAGTTGGGCAATGTGGCCTGCATGGATGTGTGTGAGTTTCATGTTCCAATGTTTATAAGCATGGCGGTGGTTATAAAATAATAATAATAGGTTACTGCACACTGAGGAATACGCCATACGATGCGAAGTATGCAGCTTCTGGTTACTTGGCATGAGGGGACTCCAGGCTTTGGGAGGTGTCTGCCTTGAAGCAGAGGCGAAGAGGCATCTCCTCTTCGCCTTTCAGAGAGACAAGTGCTGACTTGGATCAGCTGAGCATCTGGAGGTCCCTGTTGTCCAGATTTACATTTGCCATTGGTGCTTCTTCTGACAGGGGCAGGCAGAGGTGTGGCCATGTTTATTTCCTGTGTCTGGCAGCCTAATTAGCCATGAGGGGGGCCCCCCTGCACTCCTGGGAACCTTGAGATTACCTCCATGCTATGTGGTGCTATTACAGCTCGCAGTTAACGAAAAAACTAATTAAAAATAGTTTATTTCACAGGCAGAATCCTGGCCTGTAATAAAGTGTCAATAGCTCTGAAAGGAAGTTGATTCCCGCTCTGTGAAGCAGAGCGAGCGAGGCACACACCCTGATGTTTCCTGCATGCATGCACTGTTTTCTTTCCCAGCCAGCCCTGGGGTCTGGGAAGGAAGGCAGGTTCTCTCCACCTCCCCACCTTCAGCGTGCCAGGCCTGAGTGCCTCCAGGCTACATCTCCACGCAGGCCCTGCCACCCAGCATGCCCTCAGAATGGTGCAAAACCAGACCAGTTGTGGGCCCGTCATGGGAAAGCAGCCAGTCCGAGTGCCCACAAGGGCAGAACTGTGTGTACTTGTGCACATGGTGGTGTGTGTGTGCACGTGAGTGTGCATGTGTCTGGACGGTAGCTCAGCTCAGTGACCTGTGTTCTGACATCAGAGTGGCACTGGGGGAGCTGACCAGGGTGGCCCTGAGCGAGGCTGTGGGTGGTGCGTTAACCCTGCCTGGTCCTGTCCTGCAGAGGCTCCAGGTAGATAGACTACCTGCAATTGCAGACCTGTCCCAAGTAATGCCCCAGTTCCCTTACAGTGCCGCTGGCCCCTCCACATAGCCTGGGGCCCTTGGAGAGGTCAGTGGCTCTGTCCTGCTACTCAGCTCTCCCTGCAGTGCAAAAGTACCTATAGACCATTTGTGAGCAAATGGGCCTCGCTGTATTCTGATGGAACTTGATTTTTTAAATTGAGACTTACATGTCTTATCATTTTTACAGGTCACAAGATATTGTTATTTAGATTGTTTTCTCAAGGATTTATACATAGAAAAACCCATTGAGGATGAATCTGCAGGTGGGATCTGCAGGCCACAGTCTGTAGGGAACAGGGGAGAGGGGTGGGGCCAGAATTGTGAGTAAGCAGACGGCACATTCAGGGCCCAGGACCACACTGTGCCCCGGGCCCATGCCCAGGCCAAAGGGACTGGCACAGGCAGAAGCCGCTGCCACTGTGGGTTGGCAGGCCAGGGCAAGAGCTATTTCTGATACTCCTGGAGACCAGTGGCTGTGGGAGCCAGGCTGCAGCACAGCAGGCACAGAGCTGAGGGAGCAAATGCCTCTGCCTCTCTGTCCTTTGTGCCCTCTGACCCACACGTGAGACAGGGCAAGGACCTGTAAAGCACCATCTGCTGGGACACAGAGCAGGTGCAGGTGGAAAGTTCCTAGCATGCACCAGAATTGGTGTCCCACTGACAGCATGGCACAATTGAGTTGTTAAAGTAGTGAAGGGTTTGGCTTTGATCCTGTGTGTGTGTGCATGTGCGTGCGTGTACACACGTGCACATCTGTGTTTATGAGTATTAAACAATGCAAGCGAAATCTTCAAAATGAGTATTCAATTTGTTTCAGATTCAGGTGACCTCACTGGGAAGTGCACTGTATTACCATTTTGTGTGGCACCTACATTATTAAATGCTTGCCATAAAGCAAGATGCTGCCGTTCTGTGGAAATAGATCATCAGCATCAACATGGAGGAGAGTTTGTGGGCATTACAGGTTAAACATGGCGTTTCTGCTGCAGACAGTTCATTAATCTCAGAGACTGGAAGAGAGGGACCCTCTCTTCCAGCTGCACCCAGACCATAAATGTTGCCACAGCTGGCCTCGGTCAAAAACAGTAGGTCCTGGTCTGTAGACATTAACTTTGAGCCTGACCTGCTCAACAAGGGTTTGAAGCTGGAATATTTTATGTTTTGTTCGAGCTGCTTATCTTTGCGATGCTTTGATTTTTAGCAGAAGTTTTTATGAGAAGTGGCACTGACTTGGAATCCTGTGAAGGCCTTGCTTCCAGCAGGTCTCTTCCAGGAAGCTGAGGCAAGGAGTGTTTTGCCATGATACCCTTCTTCCTTGAAAGTGGGGCCGGTCCATCCTTGGTTTACTACCCTTGACATTTAGAGTGTCTGTCCCAACCCAGTTTTGCTTGCTTCTAGACAGGAGACCCCTGGGGTTCCCTTTGTCAAAGTCAGCCTCCCAGCATTTTGAGTCACAGAGGGTCCAGGGCTCAGTCAGTGGTAGTTGTGGAGGGCACAGGGCCTTTGGCGACACGTTCCTGACACGATCTTCACCGACCCCCAGCCGCAGACAGCTCTTCATGCTTGGACAGTGACGACTGTCAAGTCTCTGACCTGGTTTCAAGTACTCACCATGTTTCTAATATTTTCTCTTCGCTTTTAGACACAAGAATCTTTAAATCCAAACAACTTAGAGTATTGGATGGAAGACATTTATACTCCAGGCTATGATTCACTCCTGAAACGGAAAGAAGCTGAATTCAGACGAGCCAAGGTCTGCAAGATAGCTGCTCTGATCGCGGCTGCTACGTGCACCGTCATCCTGGTCATTGTCGTGCCCATCTGCACCATGAAGTCGTGAGCCCGTGGACCCACGCTGTGTGAGGCTTACGCAGCTGGTGCCCTCCTCTGTGTTTTAGAAGCTTGCAACAGTGTGGCCACAGTTTAGTGAAATGAAGATGGTCTTCAGAGCGCACATACTCTAGCAAGACATCTACCTACTTATTAGCTTCGATGTAATTACACTCGACGAATTTTTAGAAGTGCAATATCTTTTCCTACCAAAAGAATGTAATGGACTATCAGTGAATCCAAATTGAACATTCTGAGCAAGAAAAAAGAAGATAAATTGGGTTCTTCCCATTTGGTGATGTTTCAGGCGGGTTTAAATTATACAGAGGGTATTTAATGTGTCCTTGGACAGGCTAGGAGATGGGGAGAAGACCAGGGGCGGGCTGTTGGCCTGCCCCCAGCGGCCACTGCTGGTGAAGAGCAGGCTGTGTGTTCTGCCAGGACCTGACCTCTCACTGACTTCTCAAGGGCTGCTGACTTCCCGCCTGCCCTTCTCTCACTACTGTGGTGGCAGAGTCTGCCTTGCTGCAGTCTTCATGGCACAGGCTGGACCTTCCTCCTTGTGCCCAGGGGCAGAAGGAGTGGGCTTGCCAAGCAGAGTATGACCCAAAATGTGCTGTCTGCATAACAGGCTAAGTACCTGGGCCTGGAGGCCTTTTGGTTCCCAACCCATGATATGCAGTGGCTGCTTGCTGCTGGTGGGACTTGGGAAGCATCTCAGAAGTCAGAGCCACCCCCAAGGAAGCGCCCTCCTCCCTTCGCCATGTGGCCCCACGCCTTGACTCTCCCAGTGGTAGCAGATGCTCTCCTCTGAAGACTTTGGAACTTGTCCTTGTGCCTTGAAGAGCAGAAACAATGGCAGAATGTCGACATTATAACCATGGTTTTCATGGCTTTCCCAATGGCTTTAAGATGTTGAAAGCTTGTTCAACAATATGATACTAGCACTGAGGTCTTCTTAACTACCCAGCACCTACTCAACAGTTTGGAGCACTTGTCAGCAGTGCAAAAAAATAGTGTCTATTTAACCATTTATCTAGCTACACATCTGTCTGGGTCCCTAATTTTCATTTATGTCTTCTCCGGTAAGTAACTGGAGAACAGGGTTTTCCAGTATATAGGAAGCTGCTGTAATTTCATCAGAGGGTGATCGGGCTTCCACCTGCAGAATGGTGCTCAGATAATGACCAGATAGAGCAAGCCCTCACCAACATCTGCATTTCATGTCTCGTTACATGTTAAAGAAGAGATGATTGACAGAAACTAGCAACCTTAAATTCTTCTGATAACCAAGTAGGATATACATTCATTTTGACAGAATAGTCATTCTGGATGGAATGATAAATTCCTGTAGGTGGGATTTGGGAAGCATCTCAAATTTTAAAGCAATAGGATTCCAGCATTCCTCGTAAACAATCTCAAGCAGTGCTTAGCTTGCTGCATCTCATCCATTGTCCACTCTGAAGGGGTAGTCAGCACAGTTTTTGATGTTAACAAAGGATGGGTGCCATCATCTCTAGGAACCTTTATGTCAGAGGTCTTCGTTGTCTATTTCTAGTTTCATGTTTATATGTGGATTTTCCATTAGGTGACTGAAGCTTAAGCCTTAGGGTGGAGGATTTATAATTGACAGTGAAAAAATTTATCCATATATTATTGCCTGTTGTCAGAGTGTGAGTCCTCTGGTGCTCTGTTTTAGATGAGGCACATTAAATAAGGTTGCTTCTTTTACTCCAAAGAAGGTACCAGTTGACACCTTTGAGAGTTGCTCTCTGCCTTCAGCAGTGAGACTGCACTGTATTCTGATCCTGCTGCTGCTGCTGTTTATCACAGATTAAGCTGTCGAGGATAGAGAGAGTAGTTCCCAACCTCTTGCTCTGTGGTTTGCAGAACAGCATAGATGTGCTCACCTGGGATAAGGAAAGTCTTACCGCACCCCAGCCTGACTTCTCCTCCATCTGGCGGTGGGATCTTGGGGGCTGGACCAAACTACTTCATCACTGCCCATGGGCGAAACTGCTCCTACTGGGACTCGTGCCTAGTTGCCCCCTAGGGGAAGGAGAAGCCCCACCTCAAACGTGGAAGTGGGAGGGCACTACAGAGTTTTCCTCTGCCCTTTTTATATCTCGGGAGGTAGTCAGAGAAAGGCAGTCTTGCTCTAAGTGCAGAATGACTATAAAATTCAGCTCACCATCTGGCTGCATCTGGCAACATCTAGACCTGGTGATGCCTTGGGAGAGCAGATTACAGGACCAAAGAGGAGGTGGGCACCATGTCTGATGCTGAAGGATGGACTTTGGCTATTTGCTGGGCTCCTGGGCACCTTCTATACAAGGTGAAGTTCAAACTTGGGCTCGTTCTCCTTTAACCCAAGCTTGCTCCACCCTGCGTCCCCTGGGCTCTGTGGCATTGTTACATAAAACAATTTCTTCTATTCAAATCTCATATTCAACACAATCAAAATTCATATCATTTTTCTTGCATTTTAAAAAGTAAACAATCAGGTGGTATTATTGAATTGGATTAATTTGAAAGCAAATGTCCTTAGCCAATGACTAAATTCAGAATTAATATGTCCTCTTTTCTAATACGATTTTGTTGGGAACATGGCCTCACAGGAAAGGCAAAAAGAAAGAAAGAAAATTTCCCAGCTCACACATTTCAGAAATTTTACCCCAGGACTGTCTGTTTAAGCTGGAAATAAGGTGAAGCTGATCACACTCATGTCACCCGTGACTCGCTGCTCATAAGTACTTTAGGGCATGCAGCTCAGTGCCTGATATCTGCAATGGTAGTTTATCCATGTGTTAAATCATTATCCTAGATATCTGTGCCATAGCCTGTACCCTTACTGGAATCCAGGCAGTGTGGGGTTTTTTGTTTGTTTGTTTACAGTAACATTTCATTGTTTGTTTTTAAACAAAAAACCCTCTGCCAACAGTAAAAGATTCTATTAAGTGGTATAAAAATTTGTGAATGTTGAAATTCAATGTGCTTCATATTATAACCAACCTGCAAGAATCTTGTGACCAATTGTGTGAATACCAAATCAATATATACTATATATTGTACCACAGAAATTTGCATTTAAAAGCAGAGATACAAGTGATTGTTGGCATACCTGGGGAAAAGGGTATTAGCTGTTTATTCAGTAACACTGAGAAATGCAACAAACTTCCTTATTTATGCCTTATGAACAAAAGAGTGTGAAACACAAGGTGAAGTTTGATGTGTAAGACCCTCCGGGGTGGGTGTCCTTGAAGGCAGGGACCTTGTCTTTTCTGCGTCTGTTCTGTACAGTTCTCAGCACACTCTTGGTGCTTGATAAACGTTATATAATACCAATAACTAAGCACATTTTTAGATCCTTTTTCAAATGGCTTGTGTAAAATTTGCTTAATGTACAATGGTTGGTTTGAAGCTATCATGTAAAATCTGCCTCTCCAAATATAATCAAAATAAACTGGAAAGTATAAAATATCTTGCAGCAAGGTTTTATTCTATGCACAGATTGTTGGTGTTCAGCTTTATGGTTACGCTGTGAGTGTCCAGCTTGATATTTCTTCCTAAATTGAAAAATTCCATGGAATCAGCACTTAGAGCAAAACCAGAACATCAAGCACCCAGACAGTTGCTCCAGCTGCTCCCTGCCAAAGTAAAACACCTCCCTGTTCTCTAAGAAGACAGCTCAGCTTACCTGTCCCTGAGCTGTATGTGAATTTAACCAGGCAGCGTGGACTCCCGTGTCCTTTGCCACGCAGCCCGATGCTGGTGAGACGCCCACGCGTGCTGCGGTTGTGGTCCTCTCACTCCCACTTCCGTCAGAGCTGGTAAGTACATCACGGTGGACTTGGCCCTGTGATCACCGAGTGGACATTTGCGTGGCATCTGCATTGGGCTCTGCATGTTCTGGGCAGAGTCCTTTGTAACTTAAACACATAGGAGCAAAGCTGTAGTGTCATGAGCTATGCTAGCACTCTGCTTCCGTGGCCACTGCCAGCCCTTGGGCAGCACAGCTCCGCCCAGCTGCTCCTGTGATACCCACAGAGGCTCCCTTTTCCACATCCCATTCCGAAGTTGCTGGCATCTTTCATTTTAGACATTCTGCTGGATGTGTAGTGTAAGCTCATTGTGTTTTTAACTAGTATTTCTATGATGGCTAATTAGATTTGGTACTTCTTGTATGTTTGCAGGCATTTGCCTCTATTTTGTTAAGTGCTTGTTTGTGTTCATACCCAGTTTCCTACTGGGTTTGTGTTTTTTCTTTATCTATTATGAAAATGAATTCTTTGATATCACAATATTATTTTTTCATTCTGTCCTGATGGTATGGTTTTAATGAATGGAAGGGTTTTTTTAAAGCAGAATATATATATTGGAGTAAAGAGAGCTTCTACTTGAGGGGGAGAAGGAGAGGGAGAGGAAGAGGGAGAGGGAGAGGGAGAGAGAGAGAGAGAGAGAGAGAGAGAGAGAGAGTCCTGAATGGGTTCCCCTGAATGGAAATTTTTGGTTTTAATACAGAAATTCATTATTTTTTCCATTGTGATTGGCAGTTTAATCCTGCTTACAAAATCTTCATGGAACCTTTAAGAAAGGTCGTGAAGATGCTCCATGTTCTCTTTTGGAAACTGCTTTACTGTTTTGTAGACCTGTCCTCCTGCTGGATTCCTTTCTGTACCTGATGTGAAGCCAGAGGTGACGGTGTTTGTCCCCATCTGATGATCCACTAGTTGGCACTGTTCCTTAGGTTGCGGACTCTGCTCTCCCTGGTAGCCTGGTCTTCTCCTTTAGCTAAGCATGGCCAAGGCAGAATTCCCTCCCCGAGACACTCAGGTGAGCTCCCCTCACAGACCGCGGGGCACAGCTGATGAGGAAGTCACCTCAGCACCTTTCTTAGAGATGAAGTCACAGCACGGAGGCGGAGGAGGTGAGGGAGAACATGTTAGCTCCTTTATCCCTTCTACCATTTAAAAATGTCACCCGCTTCCCTGCTTGAATCATTAAGGAAAAGTAATTACTTTAAGCATGAGTCACAGCACATTGCAAAAAGCAATTAATATCTTGACATCTAAATACAGAAAGAACTCCCTGACGATCTTGGAGAATGTCAGGGTAACTATCTGACAGTAGGCATAAGAATGCTTTTTAGTTTTGCAGTAAAATATCAATTCAGACTCAAGGATTCCAAGTTTACATTTAGCTGGACTAGATCTAGCTTGAGTGTTAAGTGCTCCGTAAAAAGGAAGTAAGAAATAATGTGGAAGTTATCTTGTAGGGAAAAATGTTTATCCTATTAAAAAGAACAAATCAATGTGCAGTATGCTATGGTGAGGCGTTTTAATCTATCACTAATTTAGCTCTCATACCCCTCCCAGCCAAAGTCAATACTTGGTTAAGTTACTTCACATTACTGAGTGCACTTTTTAAAAAAATATGCACCATCTCCTGGTGCCTGGCTAGGACTCTAGACACCAAGCTTTCCTCCTGGCTTCCTCCACCGTGAGACTGACCTGTTGGGATTTCTCTCTGTGTGGATTTAGTTTATATTTTCATCAGTTTCTAGGATGGGAAGGAAAGGGACAAGGCTATACTGACTTCACAGAGAAGTGATGCTGTGGCATGTGAAAACTCAGCCAGGCCCTGGGGCCAGGAAGACAGTATCTGAGTTTCTAGCACATCCACCATTGAAAGTGCCTCTTGCCTCTGTCTCTTTGCTGTCTTAAATTTGGCTTTGGGTCATAACAGTCTATGGAAATTCCTGAAAGAGTGATTACAACCTGCACGTAAAATTATTGTTAGGAATTAGAGTGCAAGTGCAGTGATTGCAAACACCATTTCATTTTTCAAGGAAAACACTTAATAAATCATGTCTAATAAGTTACTGGGGAAAGAAAAACATGCACGGTGTATTCATGCTGGCTACCCCCAGCCACATTCTACATTTTAACAATTCCTGCATAATTTCAGAGGTCCCAAGGAGGGAGCCTTTCCTAGCTCATTTTCTCTGGACCAGTGCTGTCTGATCGAGATGCCTTAGCCTGGCTCAATTAGCATTTTGTTGTTTTCTTGTTAAAGTTCACTGTTACCATTAGTGAGGTACAAGTGACCTGTATGCTTTTTTTCTAAGTCAACCTGTTTCTTACCTTTTGGTCTATTCATTTGTCTGTGTCATAAGTTGGTATTTAGTGGGCAATAAGAATAGCAAAGGAGCCTGTTTGATCCATCATGATGTTGCCTGCTGCGTCCCCAGACAGCAACGTCCTGTCCACCCCAGATGCTTAGTAAGTGTCTTAGAGCGAGTGAGTGAATCCAGGAGCAAATGATAGTCTGAGAGCCTCTGTCTCAACACTGCCGCCCTAACGATGTGCAGGTGACAGGTAAGTAAGAAAAAGAAGCTCAGTCAGCAAAAGATGTAAAAGGACAGGAGAGCCTGTGAGAGAAACTCGGAGAGCAGCAGTGCGCTGCTCAGGTTAGAGGGACCAGAGGAGGTTTCTGGAGGCAGCGGTGTGAGACAACGGAAGCAGAGGATTTCTGGCTGAGGAATCTTCAGTGCAAAGGTTTTAAGCAGAGAATGAAGACCAAGGAGGGTCAGTGTGGCTTAAATTTAGTGAGCTAGCCTAGCAAATACGGCACAAGGAGAAATCGGAGAAGTAAGCAGGACTGGATTCTGGAGAGCCCTGCAGGCACTGTCAGGTGGGCCACCGTGCAAGGCTTCCCTAAGCAGTCTGACTTGTGCTTTTAGCAGACCCCTCTGCCCAGAGGGAAGCAAGGTGGGAGCAGGGAGATGGGTCAGCAGGGCACAGGCCGGGACAGGCTGGGCTGGACTCCCATCTGCAGGAGCAGCAGCAGGTCGCTGGCACCTTTCCTCACCTCCTTCTCCCACTGCACCTGCCTTCCACTGCTGCTTAGCGCGACACCCCGGGAAGTCAGGGTGGTCAGCACCAGCTCTGGCTTATGGTACCACAGCTGCATCATCATCTGATCCACAAGAACAAAAGTGTGTTGCCAGCCTAGCCTGGTTCTGGGTGCCCACAGCACTCTGGAGGCCTCTGTTTTGGAAGAACAAAGGGTACATGGACTCCTCAAAGTGCTCCTTTGCCCCCACCACTTCTCCACCTGTGGATCTCAATTCAGTTCCTGAAACAAACGCAAGCAGACTCTGGCTTGGTACTATGCGCTCTTCACACAGGTCTCTGCACTCAGTTTGGCTTTCACCTGTTACCATCTCAGACTCCGGCTACTGGTTTAAGCTTTTGACAGAAGTCATCTTTTGGCACCTCTGGCTCACAGCTGGGTCCCTCTGTGAGCTTTCCCCAAGCTCACACTGCTGTTGTGAGACCACCTTGTACTGAATGGACCTGTGCTGGTCTGGAGCAGTGACTTCTGGGGACAACAGCCCCTTCAGGGCCCACAGTAGGCCAGGGCCCTCCCTGGCTGCTCAAAAACAAATTGTAATTCTTGAGTGCAAGAAGCTGCAATTTGTGTTCAGAAGGCTGGCGAAAAGTGCAGCAGTCTACAAGAAGGTCGCTGCTGTGAACCACCAGCCAGCTCCGTACTGTGGTGGGCACTGGTGAGCTAAAGTGAGCACCAGTATGCAGCCATGGCCGCCAGGCCGGACAGTAACCCACAAAGCATGGTGCGTGCAGATCTCTCTTGATTGTCACAGCCACCCTCAGTAGAAATGGATTCTCCTCTCACTTTCCAGCCAAGGGCATGGAGCCTCACAGTTTTGTGTCTTAGGTGATACAACTGGTTTCTCAACTCAGACCCAGAGCCCATCTCAAGTGGAAAGTGCTGATGTAAAACTTGAGATAAATAAGGTTGACAGGACAGGTTGAAGAGATGAGGGGGCGTGCACTGTCAGAAGGGTGAGGGGCGCGTGGCAAGAAGCTCTTGGGGCACAAGAGACCACGAGGGCTCTCAGTCAGCCTGTTGCAAGGATTGGAACTGAGGCCAGAGAAGCCAAGGACAGAGTCTTGCCTGAGGTCCACCCTAAGCAACGCCGCGTGGGTTGGGGCGAGCCCAAGAGCCCGAACTCCAAATCCCAAGCATCTGCCAGGAGTTTGAATTGGAAGAGTGAGAAGGAGGCGCCTCACTCACCCTCTGCGCCCCGCAGAGGCCCCCATGTGCATTCACCGCCAAGGTCTAAGTAAATCTGCACAACCCAGCACGTCTCAGCGCAGGAACGACTACAGGCCAGCAACACCGGGAGCCAGACGGATGATTCACGGGGAGACGGGCAGAGGCACGGTCCTGAGGACCGGAGAGAGACAGGCTCTGTTACTGCATCTGTCGCCCGCTGCTTAAACTCAAGCAGGTCTCAACCTGGAGAAATAACAGGAAGTAATAAGCCCAGAGTGACAGAGTTTTCAGAGGATTGGATGCCAAGTCGTATTCAAAGCCTGGCTCCTAATAATTGCTCAGTAAGCACCAGCTGCCTTTCTGTAATTGGGAGGTCATGACACAGAGGGCAGAGAAGGGAAGCGG